AAACCAAGTGAATATCCTTCAGTGCATTCCCTATTAAGCGTGAATTCTTGCACGGTATATACGGTGAGAGAGGTTTCCTGCTTTCAAGGCCAATGACATAGTGTCTAACTTCAGAGGTAAAAATGAGTGAGAGGACAACAATAAGACAGATGTCCCAAGGAGGCATATGACTCACAAGTTCAGTGGAAACATCGTAGGAGGTGAGGCTTGCAGGATGTGATAGCATTTGGAAAGATGAAGAAGGGGGTGGACAGGAAGTGTTTGAGCAGAGGTATGTAGGAAAGAATGTATGCAGTACTGAAATCATTGCAGATGAAATGATACATTCAGGATGTGCTTCAAAACACTTGGCATGGGTATGATAGGAGGTGATCGTTGGGGCTGGGTAAATGGTATATGGGGGACCCTTATTATTCATACTTCTGTATACATTAGAAAATTTTCATAAGGATTTTTGAAAATAAAAATAGTATATTATACGTTTTTTGGACAGCAGGTAGTCTAACCTATCTGGAAATAGAGAGCATGTTCAAAGGCTTAGTGGGACAGGTTGGAAAAGCAGCCTGGCACCAAATTTGATGGTGGGAGAAGATTTGTGAATGTGTACTGTGGAGTCTCGGTGAGTTTAGTATGCACTGGTTCATTGGTTGGACTTGAGTTCTGCTTGACTGTGAGCCCGAGGTAGAGTTGCAGTCCAGTGTTAGCATCTTATCAAGGATGGCAGTAACTCCACTTCACCATCTGCTTAAGGACTGTCACATCTAATGTGCCATATTCCATTCTGGAAGGCACATTTAAAGAGGACTTTTTGTGAACCAGGTTTCAACGGTGAGAGATATCAAGCACAGAAAAGTAACTCACATCTTCTTAGCAATATTCTCTCTCTCAGAACACTCCATCAGCTCATGGTTGTCTACCGGGAGTAGACATATTTCCCCTTCTTCCAAGCCTCTCTACTACTCCCTTTCAAACTCTTTTTCTTTTGAGAGCCAAAGAATGGGCAATAAAAAGCAAATTAAGCACATTACTATGATTCCTGAGTGATATGAAGGTACATAATCACAATGGCATCTGACTCAACCTCCTGGAAACAGACTTCAACAGCAGACTGAGCTACACACAGAATGGAGCCCTTGCTGTAGCTTTCTGAAGCAAAGTTCCTCCTCCTCCCTGCTGAAAATATTTCTCTATCACTAAATAAAAAAGAGCAGAGATGTATCATAGAAGTTTGGGTAATTGATAATATTAAGGAATTGTTAATTATTTGGATATGATTCAGTAGTAATGCTAGAGTTGACACACATAAGCCTGTGAAAACTGTTGTTATAGGCATTTCACAAGCTAAACATAGTCATAAAACTGAAGTGTACAAACTTACAATTACAGTATTAAAAGTAAAAGAAATACTCAAAACTTTCATTCCCTAATTATTTTGCTTTAATTTGTTGCTATCTGTGCTCTTAAGGTTGTGTCTAAGCTGTCTGCAGAGTAGAAGTTCTATATAATGATGTGCGACCCAGCTCTTCTCAACTCCATATTCAGTAACATCATGTTGGTAATTTGAAATTGGCTATGGTGGGAATCATGGAAAATGGCAAAGAACCAGGGTCCTTGTTTTTTTCTCTCAGAAAACTGGTTGTTAAATATTTGCCAGCATGTCACTGGATATACTTATGATACTGCGGTTTTGTCTTAAAGACTCTTTCTGTTTTAGAGATCCATACTGAAATAAGACAGAATATATCTAGAATCTGTTTCCAAATACTCCAGTGAGGGTGGGTATTGTGACTGTTGAATCGGAGTGTTGGGCAGATGGGTTTCATTGTACCACTCTACCAACTTTTGTGTATGTTTAAAATTTTCCATAATAAAAAGTTAAAACAGCAATTACGGAAGGTTACAATGAAAATAAGTTGCCTGTACTTATTTAGACATAGAGAGCAATCCAGTCTGGTACCTGTCTGTCCTTCAAATTCTGATGCCAACATTTCTTTGATAAAATCTTATTCTCAAAGTTTGGAGCACTTATTTTGTAAATGGTTCACAGTATTTTGTAAATTGATTTTAAAGACCGTTTCTCTGCTGAGCGTGTTGGCTCACGCCTGTAATCCCAGCACTTCGAGAGGCTGAGGCTGGCGGATCACGAGGTCAGAAAATCGAAACCATCCTGGCCAACATGGTGAAACCCCGTCTCTACTAAAATACAAAAAAATTAGCCGAGTGTGGTGGTGCGCGCCTATGGTCCCACCTGCTCAGGAGGCTAAGGCCGGGGAATCGCTTCAACCCAGGTGGCAGAGGATGTTGTGAGCTGAGATCGTGCCACTGCACTACAACCTGGGTGATGGAGCAAGACTCCATCTCAAAAAAAAAAAAAAGATCTGTTCCTCATTAAATAAAATAAAAATGGGGTTTATCCTGCCCATCAAGGCAAAAAAATCCACTAGAGTCTTTCTTAGGACAGCGAAAAGCTCTCTTCAGTGTGCTGCCGGTGGGGGCATGCATTTGTTGGATTGCAGTCCTATTTGCAAAACCAGTTGTATGAATAGGGAAAAATGAATCAAGTAATTGCTCAGAAGGCTACTTGCGTCTACATGACAGCTGTGTATCCTTTAGATTTATTTTCAGTCTAGCTGATTTGAGTCATTGCCCAAAAAAGGAGTGCTGTCAAGTGAATTGTCTTTTATGCAGATGATGACAGCCTTTCTAAAAATAAATATTGCCGTGCTGATATAAGTAATGTGTTTGGAATTATTGGCCTATGAATTAAATTAGTCCTAATCCAAATGATTTTAAAAGTTCTAGCTTAGATTATGTACTGATTACATTTCACAAAGAGCACAAAAGACCAATATTTTTTTTTCTAGCTTATATTTAGACATCAAATGGAAAAGTGTGTGTCTTTCACTAGCCATGTGTCTTCAGCAACTTTTTTTTTTTTCCTCACTGAGCTGGTATCCTTATCCTAAAGTCAACTGTTTGATTGAAATGACTGAATTAGTGAGAATGAATTAGCATGAATTAGTGAGAATACATCATTTTTTTCTAAGTTTGAAGTCTTTATTTCATTCTTTTTTTTTTTTTTTTTTTGAGATGGAGTTTCGCTCTTGTTGCCCAGGCTGGAGTGCAATGGCACGATCTCGGCTCACCGCAACCTCCGCCTCCTGGGTTCAAGCAATTCTCCTGTCTCAGCCTCCTGAGTAGCTGCGATTACAGGCAAGCGCCACCATGCCCAGCTAATTTTTAGTATTTTTAGTAGAGACGGGGTTTCACCATGTGGACCAGGATGGTCTCGATCTCTTGACCTTGTGATCCACCCGCCTCGGCCTCCCAAAGTGCTGGGATTACAGGCTTGAGCCACCGCGCCCGGCCTGTTTCATTCTTAATATAAATTTGGAGTATGGTAATAGTTTCTCCTTGGATTTGATTATGCAATTATACAAACTAAATCCAGTTGACCAGGAAAAAAAATTTATGTTGAGTAATGAATGCAAGTGGTCACTATGATTATCCCATCAAATAGGGTAGTGAGGAAATGATTAGGTTTTATAATGGGGACGGAGAAGGACAATCCGAACCTTGAGAGGGAAAGTAGTCTATTCTGTCTTGTAATTTTAAGTTAATGTGAGTTTCTGGTGTGTGTAGAAGAAATACAGGCTTAGACCATTCTCTTATGAAAACAACAGGTGCAAACTCAGGTTTGTTTTGACCCCTCAGTTTTGTTTCAGCCTGGTCTGAAACAGATACTGCAAATAGGAATTGAAATCAGGGAAGCCAGAAGTCAGAAGAGTGTGGGTAGGATAAAAATCATTATAACTTCTCATAAGACAAAACTGGACAGAAAAACCACCTGGAGAAACTGAGAGCCTTTGAGCCTTTGTTGACACTTCGCTACAGTTTTTCCCATGTTAATTCCTTTGTACCAATACCCTTCAGGGCTCTGCAGGGTGTCACCACAACATACACCCTGAGAGTTTCTTTGGGACATATAATAGAAATCATAGTTTGAAATTAAGTTGGAGCATGAAGATTGGATGTGATTGCTAAGAAAAAAAGCACATAGTAAGTTTTTGAAGTGAGATAATCACAAGCTTATGATTATTCACTCAGAAACTATTTACTGAGCCCCTACTATCTGGGCTAGGTGATGGGATGCCTCAGTGAGCCCTACATATAGAAAGAAGCCCTGTGCTTCCAGAGCTTACTGCTTACTTTGCGGAGACAAGCAATAAGCAAAATAAATATATTGTACATTAAACGGAGACAGACTCTGCAGGAAAAACAAAGCCAGAGCAAGTCTTCAAAATTAAATTCCCAAGGGATATGTTTTCCATCTCTATCAAAGCAAAGTAAGGAGATTGATATTTTAAAAAATATAAAACATACCACATCAGAAATTTCTTCATGTTTCTATTAACCCTGTTGATATGCTAAATATATTCACTATCTCTACAACCATTAGAGAACAAATTTAAGATGAAGTAGCTTGGGAGAGGTAGCAGCTTTTTAACACCGAAGAGAAATGAAAAATCTGCCCTTATGTTTTGTTAGTGATTTGGCAGTTCATGATCGGGAAGACAATGAGCACCTGCAATAGGGAGGCTGGAGATTATTTTTAAAAAGAATGTCTTTGATTGCTTCCAATTCTGTTTCTCTCCAGTTGGACAATCAAGTAGAAGCCATTTGAAGAGATGTTTTGTAGTTATGTGCGTGCGGGTGTGCATGTGTGGGTGTTTTCGAACATATAGACTTTGTATTTTAATGAATTCAGTCATCTTCATAAGAAACTAAATTGTCCCAACTTTAAATGGAAATATTATGAAAGGAAGGCCTTAAATGAATTATTTTATATGGGAGATGGACTGTGGCTGCATTGAGTTCTTTATTTTAAATAACTTTTTAAAAAATTTACCAAGTGCGGGTCTTTAAATCCAACATTGGTCTGGGTGTTCAGCAAAAACAACCAACCTATCAAATTCATTTACATTTTTTCCTCTTCCTAGGGCTCCAGCTTGTGTTTCCAGCTGCCTGCTAGACCTCACTACCTGGATGGCCCACAGGTGCTGCAAACTCAGTGTTTAAATACGGACTCATTAGCCTTCTCCATCGTTGACCCTGTGGCCAAAGTGAGAGTAAGTCACTTGTCCTTGAGTCCTGGCCCTCCTTAACGTCTAATCTGCTACCAAGTCCTTCTGATGGATGCCTATGCCCATAAGCTAATTAGCAGAACACCTGCTTGAAAGTGCTCAATAATAGTACGTTTGCTTCTATCCCCTTTTCTCTTCACACTCAGTTACATCTTAGTTCAAGCTTCCTTTCCTGTTTATCCTCTGGACAATTGATTTATCCTGGTCTCCTCCCTATGTATATATCTCCTTTCTAACGAGTTGTTCATGCTGCTACCAAAGTGGCAGATTCTAGCTTTTTAAATTTAAGATTCGACACTGACTGGATTAAGCCCCTTTCACAAATACCTTTTTTTGGTTCCATATAACAGTACCTGTGTATCTTTAGGAATGGACCTAAATCGACTTTTCATCTCACCTTCTTCAGCTTTCCCATTAGATTCACTCTGGAGAACAGTCTCAGTCAAACCTTAGCTATGCCAAACCTTTAATAAAGTATGAAACCTTAATCATGTTAATAATTAGCCTTGATTTGAAATGAAAGGGCAAAATTCACCAGAGAGCTCCTTGGTCTTCCACTGAATATTGGAATAATAACTAGCACTTTATAACAGAGCCTTTCACCATTCCAACTTTACTGCTCTTCCCTTTCCCATCTCTCTCATCAGCCACAATCCACAGTCATGCCTACGTTCCTTCATTCCTGGTCAGTCTCACTGATAACACCCTGGTCTGGACTCTCACTGCTTCAGCACTGAGTTACTGTGGTGGGAGTCTGCCTGGTTCCCTCACCTTCATTTCCCCCAGTCCCTGATCCTGCCCCGTTGTATTTCTCATGCCTCACCAGGTTAATTTTCCTAAAATGTTGCTTGTATTCTATTTTAGAATCTATAATTATTCTCTTTTGTGAATCAGTTCAAGCCGTACTCATAGTTTGAAATCTTCAACCCTAAATGTCCTCACTACATTTATTTGTGAAGTCATCTCCTTTTGTCTGTGAAGATCCTCTGCTGCCTCGCTGCTCTTCCTCAGGCAACACCTCTCTGCTCTTGTCCTCCCTACTGCCCGATAGAGATCTTTTTCCTGCTCCAGCCCTTGCATGTCCCTAAGGGCTCAGACACACCTTATCTGTGTTGCCTTCTCCATTCCCTGAGCCATACCTGTTCACCTTGTGAAAGGAAGCTTTGGATGGTTGGAAGAGCACCATGTTTGGTAACAGTTATGGGATCAAGCTTCTGCTCACTAACCATGTGTCTTCAGCAACTTTTTTTTTTTTCCTCACTGAGCTGGTATCCTTATCCTAAAGTCAACTGTAAGATTGAAATGACTGAAAAAAAAATGCTGTGCTTGCTTCAGCAGCACGTATACTAAAATTGGAAAAAAAAAATGCTCCATAAACTTTTGAGCATTATATAGATGTTCAGAGTTGTTCAACTCTACTATTTAATCCTTGATTTTTTTCTGTTCACTTTGTATATAAATTTCCCATTTTCCTAACTTTGTAAGTGTTTTAAGGATAGATATAAAATGAAATATACTTTCTTGTCTTATTCAGCCCATACCACAGCAAATGCTCAATGAATTCTCCCTGCCAAGAGAATTCAGTGAATATAACTATATTCATAAAGGATCAGGCTCTGTGGTGAAAGTACAGTATTTGATAAAGTCAGTGAGGAAGTAACAAGAAGAAAAGAGGGTGCCCAAAGAAAAGGGCCTGACTAGGGGACTGGCCTGCCTCAGTACTTTGGCATCTGCAGACAAGGTCTGAATGAGAACCACTAGCCAGGCTCTTTAACCTCTTAACATCATGGCCATAGAATTGGCTTACTTTCTTAAGTGTGACACTGTTCCTAGCACATAGTAGGCTCTGAAGTGTTTCTAGAATTTGCTAACCACGATTTGCATATTATTTATATTTATACACTTGCATGTACCATGCCAATAGATTTGTCTGTCACTGTTTATTAACAGTTTTTTTTTCCTTTTAAATTTCATTCTCATCCAGAGGGGCAGCTTTTTCTGCAGAGTAGCACTAATACTCAGATTTGCACTGTGTTTGTGCAGTGTCTAATAGGGGCTGCCTGATCACTAGCTAAGGTCATAGGTAATTCAGGAACTACCTTCTTATTTAGATTGCTAGGAAGTTTTCATAAAAATATTGTACTATAGTTAATAAATTTAAATTCTGCGTAAGATCAAAAGTAAGTATAAAGAATAATAATTAGTAAATGAGAATTTATTTTATTTTTACATGGTGTCTTCTAGCCCCTTCTCCCACACTCAACCTCCTTGGCATAGGAAGAAATACGGTAATAGAGCCTGGAAATTGATGATCCTACTTAGTATCCATCTTAGCAGAAAAATGTAACCATAGTTTTGTCTGCTAACACTATCCTTGGACAATAAGAATAATTGTTAGGTACTTATAATAACACTTACTATGTTTAGGCCACTAAGTCACTTAAAAAGTGGACTAATCAGTAAGATACATTTTCTGGTTTTAAAGAGCTTACAATTTACAGTAGTTTAAAGGGAATGACAGTAAGCCCAGCAAAATAATTAAAATAAATGCAATATACTTGTTACCTAAGAAGCAAAAGGTGCATTTTTTCCCCCCGAAGTAAGTCATTAAAGATTGCAATTGTTAGTACCAGAGTCGATTTACTAGCATGAAAATGATTGGGTTGAGTGAATGCTTGTGTTCTAGATGAGCAAGCCTGGCTACAAGAAAAGACATTTGCATAGAAGATTGGGGAGACTGCCAAACAACAAAATGAAGAATTATGCTTTCGAAATTCCTTTTATTACTGCCTTGATTAAATTGATGTTTCCAAGGAAATGGATTTTTAGATGAAATTTTAATAGTACTTCAGATATTCCAATTGTGTTCTTTCATTTTACTTGGCTTTCACAATATACTCATATTTGGTTTCACTTCCTGGTTAGTGCACACAAGCCTGTTGCTGGGAAATATTTAAATAAAGTGTTGATGAGAGAAGACTATTGTTTCACAGCAGAGGAAAGCATGTTGGTTTGATTTAGACCTAGTTCATGTACTAATTTTTATAGAAATAAAATTTCTGACATGGAAATTGGTTAAAAACACTCCTTAAAAATAATTTAAAAGACTTATTTGGCAATGAAATTTAGTTACCTTGTGAAATCATCTCTTCTACAGAACTGTTTGATTAGGTACCAGTTGTGCAACAAATGAAATGTTTGCCCATAATTAGAGTAATTGTTATTTGATTTTAAACATAGGTTTGATGGCATGGTGAGTGTCATAATACCAAATGATTTTTCCATTGATTAAGGGCCCAGTGTATTCTTAAGTTGATAATTTCCTCACAGTATGTTTAACCTGGCCAGAATATCTCAGGCACCCTTTTGTGTGTGTTGTAAATGACCGTTCTTCTGTGTTACAGCTTCATAGAAAATCTTTGCCTATTAATTCTAAGAGTGGTATTTTTACCATTAAGCATTTAATTCCACCAGAGTACTCAGGTATTACCTAGTCTAAAAAAGTACAAATCAAATTTATTTCTCTTTAGAAAAAGTCAGTTAAGACTTTGAAGAGACATCTGCTTCCTCAAAATCTAATTGCTTTGTACATTTGCTAAATCTGATAGTTAAAAAATTTTTTTTTATTATACTTCATTTTCTGGGGTACATGTGCAGATCTTGCAGGATTGTTCCATGTGTCATGGTGGTTTGCTGCCTTCATTTCTCCAAGTGTTATCCCTCCCCAATCTTCCCCACACCCTGCTATCCCTAGCCTAGCCCGCCAACCCCCAACAGACCCCAGTGTGTGATGTTCTCCTCCATGTGTCCATATGTTCTCATTGTTCAACACCTGCCTGTGAGAACATGTGGTGTTTGATTTTCTGTTCTTGTGTCAGTTTTCTGAGAATGATGGTTTCCAGATACATCCATGTCCCTGCAAAGGACATGAACTCACCCTTTTTCATAGCTGCATAGTATTCCATGATGTATATGTGCCACATTTTCTTTATCCAGTCTATCACTGATGGGCATTTGGGTTGGTTCCAGGTCTTTGTTATTGTAAACAGTGCCATAATGAATATATGTGTGCATGTGTATTTACAATGGAACAATTTATAATCCTTTGGGTATATATCCAGTAATGGGATTGCTGGGTCAAATGATATTTCTAGTTCTAGATCCTTGAGGAATCACCACACTGTCTTCCACAATGGTTGAACTAATTTACACTCCCACCAACAGTATAAAAGCCTTTCTATTTCTCCACATCCTCTCCAGCATTTGTTGTCTCCTGATTTTTAAATGACCCCCATTCTGACTTGAGTGAGATGGTGTCTCAAGGTGGTTTAGATTTGCATTTCTCTAATGACCAGTGATGATGACTATTTTTTCATGTGTTTCTTGGCCACATAAATGTCTTCTTTTAAAAAGTGTCTGTTCATATCTTTGCCCACTTCTTGATGGGGTTGTTTCTTTCTTGTAAATTTGTTTTAGTTCTTTGTAAATTCTGGATATTAGCTCTTTGTCAGATGGGTAGCTTGCAAAAATTTTTTCCCATTCTGTTGGTTGTCGGTTCACTCTAATGATTGTTTCTTTTGCTGTGCAGAAGCTCTTAAGTTTAATTATATCCCATTTGTCTATTTTGGCTTTTGTTGTCATTGCTTTTGGTGTTTTAGTCACGAAGACGTTCCCTATGCCTATGTCCTGAATGGTTTTGCCTAGGCTTTCTTCTAGTGTTTTTATGATGTTAGGTCTTACGTTTAAATCTTTAATCCATCCGGAGTTAATTTTTGTATAAGGTGTAAGGAAGGGAACCAGTTTCTGCTTTCTGCACCTGGCTAGCCAGTTTTCCCAACACCATTTATTAAACAAGGAATCCTTTCCCCATTGCTTGTTTTTGACAGGTTTGTCAAAGATCAGTTGGTTGTAGATGTGTGGGGTTTCTTCTGAGGCCTCTGTTCTGTTCTGTTGGTCTGTATCTCTGTTTTGGTACCAGTACCATG